ACATTGATCAGCTGCCTCCTGCACTCCCCCTACTGGGGATGTGCCCACAACCAAAGTACATGCCCTTGACCAGAATCGAACCCGGGACCCTTCAGTCTGCAGGTGGACGCTCTATCCACTGAGCGAAACCAGTTAGGGCCACTCTTTTATTTTTTATTGACTTTTTACAGAGAGGATGGGAGAGGGATAGAGAGTTAGAAACATCATGGATCAGCTGCCTCCTGCAAACCCCCCACTGGGGATGTATCCAAACTGGTTAGGGCAGCATAATCACTTTTAATACAATAAATAATTGAATTATATCGTAAGCCCTGGCTTGGTATCTCAGTTGGTTAAAGCATCGTCTGGATACACCAATATTGTGGGTTCGATCTATGGTCAAGGCACATACAAGAATCAATCAATGAATGCATAAATGAGTGGAACAAGAAATTGATGTTTTTCTCGCTCTCTTTCTCAAGTCAATAAATAAAAATTTAAAAAATTCTAAATGTGGCCTAGCTGGTTTGGCTCAATGAATAGAGCATTGGCCTCCAGACTGAAGGGTCCCAGGTTTGATTCCAGTCAAGGGCACATGCCTGGGTTACGGGCTTGATCCCCAGTCGGGGGCATGCAGAAGGCAGCTGGTCAATGGTTCTCTCTCATCATTGATGTTTCTATCTCTCTATCCCTCTCCCTTCCTCTCTGAAATCAATAAAAATATATATAAAAATGAATAAAAAGATATACAAACATGTAGACTACAGTTGTAGATTAATGTAATATTGCTTTATGTCAGCAACATTACTATAGTTTCTTTGCTAACATATGGTCTATTCACTAAAATTTGTTAAAAATATTAGTGAAATAATAACAATTACCTCAAATTAATTAGAAGCAAATCTTCATTAAAAGTGTTTTAAATCCTAGCTGGCATGGCTCAGTGGGTAGAGTGTCGGCCTGCAGACTCAAGGGTCCTGGGTTCAATTCCGGTCAAGGGGCTTGATCCCCAGTGGAGAGTGTGCAGGAGGCAGCTGATCAATGTTTCTCTCTCATCATTGATGTTTCTAACTCTCTATCCCTCTCCCTTCCTCTCTGTGGAAAATCAATAAAATATA